TGTGGGGGCTCTGATGTATAAATGAAGTGAGGAAGAGGAGAGAAATGCAGGCAGATGTCCACCAGGTGATTCTTGGAACGATGCTGGCTTTGACTCAGACCCAAACAAATACTAGGTGTTGTCCCCCGCTCCCCTGCCCAAGTCAGCAGGGTAGGGGCCTTACATAGAGATGGAACCTAGTGCCAAGTGCCATCTGCTCTGTGGCCTCACACCTCCCCCTGCTGGCTTTATCCTGGCACGGCCTCTCCTTGCATAGGAACAAGCTGAGCAGAAAGGAAGGAGAGGTGGGCCAGCCAAGCCGGGCCCAGCCCCCTTTGGGAGACCATCCCTGAAGGGCTGATGTGCTCAGACTCACAGGTAACCTACCTGAGGGGTACCCACCAGTGGCGACCCTTTCCCACTAAGAAGATAGAGACAATAAAGGATTCTGTTTTCAACGTGAAAGCCACCAACTGGGGGACCTGGGGTGGTGGCACAAGGCAGCATGAAGGGTGACGGTCACCACTTGGTGACCATCTTCCGTTCTGGAGACATCTGGAACGTCTTATCAGACAAGGAGTCTGATGTGTAATAGGAACAGTGAGTGTCGAAGGCCATAGCGAATCATGTCCCACAACTCTTACGGAGACCTTGGGGACACGGAGTTAGTCAGCAATGGAGGCAGAGACAATTCCTTCAGGGGTGTGGGTGCACGACTCAGTAGGGAAATGACTGCCAGCTGTTTTTAGCCAGTGCCAAGAGTCACGAATTTATCTCGGAGCAGGCTGGCATTGTCTGAGGGGCTGGACCAAGGCTTCTTGGAAGAGAGAGGCCAGGTCTTCAGTGATGAAGGAAACGAGGTAAGGCGGCCTCTGCTGAGGGCTGGGTGCGCTGACTCATCAGTTATCCCATTTCGTGTGGCAGGCACGTCTCTGGGGTTGTTGCTACACACCGGTGCTCTAGTCTCCAAGTTCCCAGGATCCCCTGGGGCCTCACTATTCAAAGTGTGGTCCGAAGCCCTCTGCCCCACTTGGAAGCTGATGTGGAAGAGCAGAATCGTAGGGAACCCAGCTGAGACCGCCGCCATCACCAGAATCTGCAACACAGCAACATCCCCAGAGGACGCACACGGGCAGTGAATTAGAGCACTTCACACTACTGAGGTCTGGGCTCCGATCCAGAACTGCGCATGCCCGAGGTCAAGTCGTTCTCAGTCTCTGGGGCGGCTGCCGGTGCTGACCTGTGAATGGGCGAGGAAATGAGGGGCCCTTCCTGGCACATCTTGATGTCTGGGCTTCAAAGACAAAATGTTTTTGCCCGCTCCCCTGCTTCTGAAGCAGAGAGGGCCGAGAGGCTGGAAAGAAAAGCCCGCGTGGGAAGGCAGCTGCCCATCTGTCCCAGAGAAGAGCATGTCCTCCGTGGGACTGTGTCCCAGAGGAAGCCATTGGGCTAGCCAGCCAGGAAATGTGGAGCTGGGACCCTCACTTCCCCCAAGTGACCAGACTGAGGAGGAAAAGATTGTACTCGGGCTTTGGATGCCAGCACATCCAAGTGCAGGAATGCTTCCGAAAACGAAAATTCTACTGGCGCCCTCTCTGCTTTCCCCGCCGGCCTGTTAGTTCAATGCCCCATCCCGGAGCTGGCCCACGGGGTGGGGTGGGGTGGTGGGAGGGGTGGGCTGAGAGGAGGCAATACGAAAATGATTCCAGATAAAATGTTGGTGCAGCGTTGCGTCATTTTGTATAAGACCACCCCTGTTGTTTGTTCTAACCACAAAAACATTTTTGTAAGCCCAGCTTACACGTGTCAGTCTGCCTGAAAACCCAGCCCCTGCCCTGGAGTCCAGTACAAGCCATGGCCGTCCCAGAGGACAGAGTAGACCCGCCCCTGCTGGTTTCCCAGGCTATAAGGATTCACAGGGGCGGACCGCCTCATCCTTCTCCTGTGGAGGGGCTGGTGACACCAGTGCTGTCACTACCTACAAGGGTAAAACTGGGCTAATTTATTTCTTGAACTCGCTAATGGGCTCCGGTTAGAGCTGTCATGATCATCAATGACAATGAGACTTTGAATCACGCCGTTCCAGGAGCTGCAGCATAGGCCCTGTTTAGCTACAATACTGGGTTAATCCTTTGTGTGCCTGTGTGAAGAACTCCTTTTTTGAGAAGGAAGTAGCAACTAGTGGAAAAGGACAAAAGGACAAAAAAGGAAAAGGACAAAAAAGCATTTAAAGGTTCTCCAGTTACGAATCATGTAACAGTCATGTAAATTAAGATTTTACAATTGTTTGCATCATGTAAGAAATATTATATTTAAGCAATTATAAAGACATCATCTATTTTTCTGTTTAAAATTGATAATGTGACTAAGGTCCAAGGGCAGGGCGGTTGACACTCTGACACCCCTGGGTAACAGCAACTGAGTGCTGCCACTGCTGAACTTGTTCCCTTCAGGATAAGTTCAACAGTTCAAGGTCAAACTGCCCTTCATGTTATCTTAACCTTTTACATGTAGCTGATACATACATCCAAGTAACTTCCTCTAAGGACATTCAAGAGAGAAATGAAGGGAAGTTGCCCTACTGGTAGTGGGCACCCAGTTAGAGGCTTGGTTCTTAATCCCTGCAGAACTGGAGCCGAGGGGCCTGACAGGTGTAATAATCACCACACCACCTCAGCACAGTGGTTCTCAACATGGGGGTCGTGACCCCCTTTGGGGGTCAAATGACCCTTTCACAGGGGTCGCCCAATTCATAACAGTAACAAAATGACAGTAATAAAGTTGCAGTGAAAATAATTTTAAGGTTGAGGGTCATCACCACATGAGGAACTGTTATTAGGAAGGATAAGAACCACTGTCTTAGCATCATTGAGACCGGAAGTGACAAATGTCACTGCACACAAATGCTGTCGCTTTGCAGAGGTCTGTCCAGCTGTGTGCTTGTGACCCTTATCAGTCATCTAGGGCATGTTGGCAGGCTACCTAACGTCCTAGACCTTACATCGCGTCCAGGGGTCAGTTTTTGTAAGCAGGCATCTTTGAAAATTGGTTTCATCTGGCTGTTTTGTGCATGAACTTTTGATTTGCTACTGGCCAGGCTCTACCCAGCCTCACTTATCAGAGGTGCTGTCAGGCCATGGAGAGAGGACATCGGTGAGTGTAGAGACCCTGAGGTAGGTGGGAGTATGGGCTGGAATAACTCTCCTGGCTGGGCCAACTGCTGGGCCCTAGCAGACCCCAAACTTAGATTCAGACAGATAACACTACCACCACCCAAGCAATCCAAGGATCTTCATTGAAGTGACGCTCCTCAGACTCTCCAAAGGAGATTGTAGAAGAGTGTAGGTACCACACACGACAAACACCATTATAATTCCACCTCGTACTTTGTGGACATGGCTCATTTTGTGAAGCAGGCAATTAAGAATGTCACTTCTTTCAGGCCTGGACATTTGTGGCCAATCACATTTTTGTTAGTTGCAAGATCTGGTTAAAATCATGATGTGGACTTAGTGTGTTGCCCCTTTTCTTCAAGTTTTGGGGAAGACGCAGGAAGTAATAATGGGAGCCCTCGCCCCTGCCCCCCACCCTGCTGCCCAAAGAACAGCCAGCATCCACACTGCATTTTTAGTCTTTATTTTTTTATGTAAAGAAATTCCATTGAATCAAAGATAACAAAAGTACAGTTTTTGTTTGTAATGATCTTTGTTTACCAACCACACAGAATCAAAAGAGAACCCAAATTATGAAAACGTAAAACAAGGACACCATTGTTTAGTATTTCTTAATAAAGGTAAATATGCTCATATTTAGAAAAAATTGCATTGCTAGTTGCAAATCTTAAATGCCTCGCTGCTGGAGGGTCCTCTTTCCCCTCGGAGATCTGGCAGCAAGGGAGGCTTCTAGAACACAAATGTGAAGTGGCATGGTTTTCAGGGCTGCACTTTCAAGGTTGCCGGGGTGGGTGGTACCTGACCCCCCTCCCCCCGCCTCCGAACAAAACCAAAGAAAACCGAAACAGGAAATGTGAACGTGATGGTTCCCAAAAATCAATCTGGAAGCAGGTGGGCCAACAGAAGCATGTTGAAGGGCATCTAACCAGGCTGGGGAGAGATCCGAACTGGTGGCCCACCCCGCCTCGCTCCCGCCCCGGCCCCGGCGTGACTAAGGCAGCTGCAGTGGCAGAAGTCAAAAGCCCAGGTACAGTGAAGGTCTTCCTGAGGCAGTGGGAGAGAGAAATCCAGGTGACAGGAGAGGTGACAGGCTTCTAACTCGGACTTGTGCTTTAGGAAAACGAAAGAGGCCCCGGCCCAAACCTATATAAAAAGCTCAGAATGTCATGGAATTTTGAGTGTCGGACTTCATCCACCAGCTAGGAATTCGCTTCACTTTAATCTTGAGCAGGACATGAAAGAGCACTACTCACCACCTACATGCTAGCAAAAACCGTTCAGGAAACCTGGAGGCTGGGGCCGGGGGCCAGCACAGGGCTGACTCTTCCCAAAGGGGGGCTGTCTACTTTCTGGGAATGGCAGGCCAGCTGTGCTCTGACCACTTCAAGAGGATTCTGGGCCACAGCATCCGGAGGCAAGAGGAAATGGCCTTTGCTTCGGAAGGCACCCTATTTCTCTATGCCAGCAGAGGCCAGTCCCTGCTTCCTTAGTTTCAAACACAGGTTGGCAAAAGCAAGTCCAGTTTATGAAGAGGTGGCAGCTCCCTCTGCTCTCTTCTTTCCCTTAATCACTGGGCTTCTAAACGCCACTGGCAGACCACCCTTCGTGGTTGTTTTGAAGCCAAAGGGGCTTTGCACAACAGGGCACAGAGGACAACAGAAGGGCGTCAGGGGACGGGATGCGCAGGCCAGGTCTGGATCACTGGTATGGTTGGGGGTGGGGTTGGGGGGACGCGAGGAGGCGCGCGCACAGGCCACCGGAGAGCCTCTGGTTTGGCTGTGGCTTCTCTCCAGCCTTGCTGGGCAGGAGAGTTTGAGTTCTAATGCCACGACATTGTGGCAAGACCAGAGCATTCCCAATGGCAAGTTAAGGCTTTCCGGGCAGAGAAACGGGTTTCAGATGATTGTGAGAGGAGGCTGCAGTGACATGCTTCTCAGTAATTCCCTGTCTCGCCTAGAGGACAGAGACCCGTGCATTCTTCCACCTCTACGTGAGGGTCCACGACCCCTGCGTCAGCTCTAAGTCAGAATCAGTGCCGCGGGGCAAGGAAAGCCCTTGCAGCTCAGACATCCGCTGGCCTGGGAACACAGCGAGCACACGCACGTTGCCTCCTGTAGCTGGCAGGGCGCAGCTCAAGCCACACAGCTGCACAGAGGGCGACCATTCAGTCGCCCAGCTACGCAGAAAGCTCTGCTTTCCCCAAGACTGCAGTCTGGGAATGAAAGCCCAAGCGGGAAGGACTCCTCACACAGGTGCTCCCCGGGAGCACCTGCTCCTGGATCAGAGCACCCTAACTCCCCTGCCAACCAACTTCTCATCAGTCGCCTCACATTTTCTTAGGGGGCCAGGGGTGCAACCAGGAGGAGGAACACGGGCATTTCTCCTCCTTTGGTTTAACAAGACAGTAGAATCATCCGTGCCTGTGCAATTTGTGTCCTCGATCTGAGTTTAAACTATAACATCATTTACAGAGTTCAGTTTGTTCGGGTTTTTTTAAGTCACCAGAGGCTCTGACTCGTCAGGCGAGACCTCACAGGACCATCGGTGGGGCACGGAGAGCTGGAGGAGGGACAAAGACAGCCCCCATACAGAACGTTGTCTACCTGCCCGTGCCGAGCTCCGTCTCTCTCTGTGTCTCTGTGGTTGCTTTCATGGGAAGACAAGACTTTTCCTGTGAGGCAGCCACATTCACACTCTCATTTCCTGCCCGAGAGCGTGAAGCTTGAACAAAGGGCTTCCCTTGAGACCCTGCAAGCCCAAACAGAATGCAAGTGCTATTCAGAGACACACACGGAGATTTCAGCCCCCACCCCCTGGGCCTGTGTGCGAGATGCCGCGGCTGTCTGGCAACACACACTGTGCCCAGGCCCTGCCTGGAGCCACCAGAATCTCCCCACAGACCAGGGCCGGCCTCCTGTGACCTCAGAGACAGTCTTGAGTGTTCTCCTCTGCGAGGAGTTGATTTGTCAGAGCAGGCCGAGAGATGTGGGCCTGAGGAACTAAGGAACTTTCTTACTTCCCGGGCTGGTGATTCGACCCTCTGGGTTATTGCTTGGTTTACCCTCTCGGTTCACACAGAGTCTGGAAAAGTGAGAGGAGTAGCCGTGGGGGTCAGAGAGGCTTTCAGGTGATGGCAGAGGCTGGGGGGTGGGAAATGTCACAAAGGAGTGGCCAGGACGCTGGCTTATGAATTGAGGGGCAGCTGTTAAAGTGCTAATTTGTGCGAACAGATCAAGAAATGGAGGTGCTCTGGAGAAGTGGGGCGAAAGCCACGCTGCTGGGCTTGGGGAGAATGACAGCATTGCAGAACCGGCCCTGCCAGGAAGCAGGTCTTCCCCCTGTCAGATCGTGGATGCCTTTGCAGTCATAGGTCAAGACCATCTGGTGATTGTCAGAAAACACCTTCTCAGGTTCCAGACATTACCGTCACAGTCATTGGATAGGTCCCCAAATGACATCCACCTGCAGCCACGAGGGTCTGCACTCAGCTCAGGTGGCTCCCTGTATCCCTTTACCTGCCACACAGTGCCCACTACTGTATTCCCACCTGACCTGGAGTCAGACAAGCTGCAGCAGGGGTAGCTTGTCCGAAGTCCCCATGCAGTTACACCCGTAGTACCATCTAGTGCCAGATAGCAACCGCGGGCTTTTCAAAGTGCAGGGTTTTTAGCGATTCAAGTGCCCTCAGGATGGGAGACAAGGGGTACTTGAAGCCTACAGTGACCTTCTGATTTGAGAGAAGACACACTTTGGAGAGAGGAAGCCAACAGAACACAAACCCAGGGCGTGAAGCAACACATTTCATTTTAAAACAACACCCTCTTCAGTTGGAAACACCTTTCTCCCGGCTCAGCTCTGACTTTTCAATCGTTTGGTATCAAAAGCCAGGGTCAGAGATACCTGGGTTTTCTGTTTTTGTTTTTTTTTAAATAAAAAGAAAGAAAATTACAATTCAGTGCTTAAAAAGCAAAATAGACCACAATAAACAGCACCAACCATAAAACACGCAAAACCCAAAAGGCCACAAACACAACCACCACCACCTCTACATGGAAACGGGGTGGGGTGAGGGTGGGGCAGGAAGAAAGGCAGGTGATGACACCCCCAGGCCGAGGCCTGGCCTGGGAGAAGCGCCTCCAGGGACCCCTGGAAGGATGTCCCCTCAATCCTCAGTACACTGAGTGTCAAGGAAAGTCGGCACTGGTGGTCCCAAGCCCATTGCACAGAGGAGGAAACGAAAGCTCCAGGGGACTTTGCTAGTATCACCCAGTCCACGAGCAGAGAGTCGAGGCCACATATGCTGTGCTCTGGCTCTGGCTCAGGGCCCTGCCTGGGACACTATATAATCACACAGAGGGCAATGACAAGGCTGGCCTCGATGGTCCCTGGAGGGCCAAGAGATACCTCTGATGATGCATTTTAGTAAAAGGAGCTACCAAGAGGTTTCTAAATTTAAAGGCCTCGCAGAACAGTGTCTCCCAAATTTGCCCGGTGATGAGAATCAACTGAGGCACTGGTCAAAAATGAAAATCCCCAGGCCCCTTCCTAGACTTGTGGAGGCGGCCTCTCCAAGGGGCAGGACCTGGGAGGCTGAATTTTCCACAAGCGCCCCAGGTAACTCTCATCACCAGGGACGCGTAGGGGAACTGTCTTGGGAGAGAGTGAGGGAGAAAACTTGGCTTGTGACTCAAGGGAATGACCTTTGCTGATTAGAAGAGCTCCCAGGCTGGCCTGGGAAGCCAGCTTCTCCCCCAGTGCTGGGCTAGGCCAGGGAGCTCTCTTCTGGGTCTACGAGGGCACATAAAACCACCACAAAACTAACGTGAACACCCAACCCTGTTTTGGGGAAAAAGTCTTTTGATTGGCAAAGCAAAACTGCAGTTCCGACACATTTTTAATAGGGAAACTAGACTTAATTGGCTTAAAAGCAATCGAATGCTGAAACCAGACAGGTGGATGAGCACCCGGTCACTTGCCACCATGGCTAGCAATGCAACGGAGGACACTGGTAACCTAAGCACAGAGAGAGCCTGGAGCTCCTGGGGAGAGCTGCCTGCTCTAAGACAGGTGTGCCTGGTGGGTGGGCCCTGCTGATGGGGTGAGGTCAGATCCAGGCCATTGAGGTTGGCCTGAAGCAGCCGGCGAGGTGACTCGGGCCCCCGAGGAGGCCGCTGGGCGCACCGGAGTCCAGAGGCCTCATTCCAGGTCAGCCTCCACCTGCTCTGTGTCGGAGCACTGCAACTTGTTCTGCTCCCATTGGCAAATGGCGTCGGCGTACTGCACCACCAGCTTATCCATCCACGTCAGGGGCTCGGGGAACAGCACGGCGCCCTCAAAGAAGCCCAGGTGGCCCCCATGCAGGGGCAGCACAAACATGACGTTCTCCCGCTTCTCTGCAGGGAAAGGAAGCTGAGTGAGTTGCACGGGAACGCCTGCACTGGACCCGAATGGCCCCTGACCGCCCGTGTGGCTGGGTGGGATTGCGCTGCATGGGGTGGGCAAGGGTGAGCTGTGCTTTCTTCCCACGTGGCGCTGAAGAGGCTTGAACCTCTGACCCTTCAGTCGGCAATGAGTGAGCTAACCATTTCCCTTAGCCATGGTGGGAGGTGAGGAAAGGAGGCAGGGTTGGGGGTGGAGTGACGATGGGATTTCTCCATGGGTGAATGTCCCCTAAGCAGGTATCTCAGCTGGACTCTCCTAGCTGGCATGAGGGGAATCTGACAGGGCAAACAGAACAGCGGGACCCAGCTGGCTTGGGACTGGCAGTCTGGCTTTGGGGGGAATGGGCACCAGCCTAAGAACTCCCTAGAACTCTTGGCCACCTGGAGAGTCCCTACAGCTCCCATCTTGAGAGTAGGGAGGCTGATACTGGAAAGGTGGGAAGGTCAAGTCTACCCACAGTTTCTTGACTGTAATCTTCACCGGTTTCCCTCCCGTGGAGCTACAGAAGGTGTGTGTAATCAGGACCAAGTGCTTAAGCAGTGTGCCACTAGGGTTCCTTCCTGAGAGTCTGGTCTGAGCGTCAAAGAGTTCATGGAAAGATTCCACTGTCTTCTCATTCTACATTTCCATGAGCTTTTGGGAGCCCCTCACGTTGCAACGCAGAGTAACACGGAAACTTCCAAGTGTTCCCTCGTGCTGCCTCTCTCTAGTGTCCCCGTCAGTGCTCAGCCAGTTTCGAGCGAGGTTCTGTCAGCCCGCCGGCCGGAAGCACGGCCATGTTCTTACAAGCGAGGCTCTTTCCACTGCTTCTGTTCTAATCCTCAGAGCAGGTGGAGAGGCAGCCACAAGAGGATGCAACACTGGCTTCTCAGGGCAGGTGCTAAGTTTAAATATCTGTGTCCGTCAGACTCCTGGACTCCGTGGGACCAGAACCCTGGCATGACTGTGCCATAGCATTCCAGGCAACGACTTCCCAGAAACCCCTCTGGCTATGGCTGTTCATGGTGGTCCTGCCTCCAGCCCCTGGGCAGCAGGGGAGGCGTTTCCTCCCCAGGCCCGTCAGACATCGCGGCCCCCCACCCCCCAGCTGGTCTCCCAGAGATGACAGATTTTTTTGGTGGCCATTTGCTGAGTGGTTGCTGGGGAGGTAGGGGACAGGGAGGTGAGCCGTAGGAAGAAACACTTACCGGAGAGGGATTTGGGGATGGTTAGGAGACTTTCATGCACCAAGGGGTCATCAGCCGCATTAACCAGCATGAGAGGCACGTAAATCTGCAGTGAGGAAGGAAAGCAGAGTGAATGGTTAATTCCCTTTTCTGGACCTTGGTGGTTCAAGTCCAAATTCCCCACTGGATGTGCCTCTGAAGCAGAACAGGGCGGTTGACTGCTCAGCTTGCGAAATAGGTGGCTGCAGGGACGCTCTGGGCCCGTTGCAAGTGCACGGGATTTTCATGGCTGCTCTGATGACAGCCTTGCAAGAGTCCCCAGGGGCCTCCGACGGGCAGGGCATGTGCTTGGTGGCCCTCACAGGCCAAATATTGTCAATGACCTTCCCCAGAGTTTCCCAGTCGTCGGCTCTTAGAGGTGGTTGGCTCACGCAGGCCAATTTACAGAGTGATGCACATGTTTGTGGGATTTCTCTGGTAAGAAGCAAGAGGAAGAGTGTGCTGGGCCTCAGATCAAGGCGGCTTTCCAGAAGGATCTGAAGGTTGAGAACAGGCAGGAGGAGACACAGGGACACCCTGGGCAAGGTTGCAATTAACATCCACTCTCCCAAAGCAGCCAATCACTTCCTTTTGCTATTTGGTGGAGATGGACTTAGACGTGGTCGTACCCAGGAGTCCAGGGGGTGTCATGAGTGGTTCTGTTAGCCTGCACATCGCTGTTGGCTTGTGAGAGAGTGCTCGGCGCCACTACAGTGGTAAAGCCTGGGTGGTGGGGCCGAGCTCAGAGTGATGGCTGGTGCGACAGACTGCAGGATTGCCATTCAGTGACCGGCGTTCTTGGGGGCAGTGGCGGGGACACGGACTGGGATAAATGGACAGTCCTGTGTCTGAGTAGGAGGGTCAGCTGAGCAAGGGCAGGAGGAGGGCGACAGGCATAGCTCAAGGCAAAAATACAAGGTGTTCAGGTAAGGGGGGAAAAAATACCAGGGGCTTTGGAAAGTTCGTGGAAAATGGAACTGAAAGATAATGGAATTTTTCTGACAACTTTTTTGAAGTCCTCTCATGTGTATATATATTGAATACTAGCTTAATAGAAATGTTATTGCAGTTAAAAACAGCATTAATAGAAACCAGCCTAACCTGTCAATAGAAATGCCCGCCACCCCTAATTTGGATATAGAAAATCGGAAAGGGCTTCAGAAGGTTCGTGGGAACATGCTGCTCCCTTTCGGAAGCCCCCTCCTCCGCCTGCACTTTCCATTGCTTAAGCTTTGCTCTGTACACTTCAGGTCATGGCAGGGGTTTTGAGTTGGGTGCTGAGCAGTGCCCTAACACGGTACACCTGGCCAGAGGCAGGAACCAGGACGCGAGGAAATCCAGACCAATCTCCACGAAGAGCCACGGCAGGGAATTGGCTCTGTGGTGCCGACAAAAGGAACAAAGGGTGTTCGAGCAATTTTAAGGGCTCTCACGTGGATGAGGGCGCAGCTTGGCCGTGCACCGTTCTAGGAGGCAGCGCAGGGATGGCAGCAGGGGGCTTACAGTGAGGCAGAGCTTGCTCACTACCCAGAACCTGGCAGAGGCTCACGGCGGGCGGCAGGAGGGATGCACGTGGCACAGGGGGTGAGAGTGGCCTAGGGATGCGCACGGATCTGTCCCCACCCTGGCTTGGTACTGGCCACTCACCCTGTGCAGGTACCTCATACAGCTTTCTTCCTCATAATATTCCTTCAGGGAGTTATAGCCATGAAACTTCCTAAACACACGAAACAAGTAGAAAAAAAGGCAAAGATAAAAACACTTGACATAAGGTCTGTAGGCTGAGCTGCCTTGACTGTTGCTCCAGTTCCAAACTGACTCGTCCTATCGGTATACAGGGCCGAGGAGTGCCGTGGTTCAGAACGCCGGCTTGGGCATGTGGGTTCAGTTCCTGACTCTGCTACTCACTGGCTGCCCCCTTTCCAGAAAACTAAATTACTCTGTGTCCCTCCGGCAATGAAAAACTTTTGTACTATAGCCCACTACCCAGGATAAAGGCAGATAGCTGCTTTTGCAGGTCCCATCCCCCAGGGGGCAGTACTACCCACAGTGGGCAACACGACCTTGGGCAAATGAATAACCTCTAACCTCTGGGAGCCTGGGCTTCCTTAGTGAGGAAGCCTGCCTTAGTGACACAGGGAGGGTTATGGCCTCTAGGGGTTTACTAGCAAGTGATCAGTAAGTGCTATCTACTATTATGCTCTAAGGGGTCCCTCCCATCTAGAGAGGGCAGCTTCTGGGTCCAAGCGGCCCCCTGCCATGAAGGGCTACAGAACTGGGGCCAGCCCTCTCACTGTTCTCAGCGGGAAAGCAGAAATTCCAATTTTTCTGAGAGAGCTGCAGTTTGTCCAACACTGGATGCATATTTAGAGCTCCAGAAACACAGAGGGTGCTAGTAAGCTGCTTGTGGGGGGCCCAGCGCCCCACCCCGCCTGGACACACCTCATCACGTTGTCATCGATCTGCATCAGGGAAGTTGCTGTGTAGAGCCGGCTCAGGTCTGTGTCCTCCAGGAACTGTGGCTTCTTAACACGGTCTCCAAAAAGAGCCTGCCTAGCATGGGATACGCAAGCACACGCAGCTGACAATCAGCCAGAGGCAGCCAGGAGCGAGCGTCGATGGGCAGGCTCAGGGGGTAAGCTAGGAACCCTTTTCTTCCAGCCTTGTGAAGAGGTTCCCGAGCGACAGCACGACTGGTTTGCTGTTGGCTACCGACCTCGGGCCGGCAATTTGAGGCCACCCCGCGACACCACGGAAGATAGGCCCACGACATGCTTCATGGTCACGAAAACCCTATGAAGTAGTCCCACTTAGCGCTCAGGTCAGCTCGAGGGGGCGCCTGTGCAGCCGCTGCATTGTTTGCTTGTTTAGTTTGCCTTCAGGGTGTGCCAGGCACATGCCCAAGGATGGGCCCTGACGCCTGGTTTCCCTGCAGCGCCAGGCGACATGGAAGGCTGAGCCCACCTGAATGTTACCAAACCTTCACAGGCAGAAGAGGTGGCCTCTGTGGGGAGTGGTGGGCAATGGGCCTGCAGGCAGGGGGCCCACCTCCACATAGGTGTGGACACTGTCCACTTGACCAAGCCCTGGCCCCCCCTGGCGCCAATTAACAAGGAAGACAATGCCTCGGCATGTGGGCGAATCAACAGCGTTGGGACCTGTCAGCTAAACAGCGCCTATACTCAGTACCAACTTCCATGAAAAATAATAAGAAGTCAACCCCCCTTGAGAGGATGATAAGAATGGCAACGGTCAGAATGTGAAGGCTTTAGGCTTCTGTTCCCCATCACAGCTGCGGGCGGAGCCCATGTGCCATGGGAAGGAAATGCCCTTGCACCCACTCTCAGCCTCTCCAAGAGAAGTGGAGCATGCTTCTTCAGCATCACCCCCTTGGTCCCCAAACCATTATTGATTCAGGTAGGATTCTGCCAGGGGATGGAGTTCACCTTTGAAAGCGTCTCTAAAATGCCCGAATGTTTGGCTCTCTGCAGTAAATTAAAAAAAAAAAAAACCAACATATATACTTAGAGCACATGCAGAGGTCTCTCCCAATTTGCTAAGAATTCTGTGAGGAACCTTCCAGACTAATCCATACCAAGCCCAAGCCCATTGGCTAGTGGACATGTTGTGGGTCGCAGAGACTGCAGGGGGTGGAGGGTGGGGGGTGGGCAGAGCTTTGGGCATCACCATTGTGGGATCTCATTCCAGCTAGCCTCAGCCCACAGGGCCGCACACAGCAGGCGATCACACCACACGGCTTTCAGATAGCCTATGCCAGCCAGCATGGAGACTGATGGGCATGGGCAGCTCCTGGTCGGGGTGCCCAGTGGGACAGGCAGCACAATGTTTCTGTCTCAACATTGAAGAAGCGAGTGTAAGAAACGGACCTTTTCCAGGGATGTGTCAAAAAACCAAGCAAGGTATTGTGTGCCCATTATATGCCAGGCTCTGCGGAAGTTCACGTGGGAAACCGAGCCTCCAGAATGGCCTCACCGGTTGGCTGGAGACACAGGCCTCCAAAGGGAAAAGCAACAGAGAAGCCTCATGGGTGGCAGAGGTGGTTCTGTAAGTGGGAGGGCAGAGGGGATTTTTCAGGCTGGGCTAGGGAGAAGCCAGAAGTGCAGCTGGAGTAGGCGAGAGGAGGACGAGAAACTATGCTAACAGTAACTGCAACAATACAAAGTACCGCCAACACTTATCAAATGCCACTACTGCGTGCCCTGCCCAATGAAGTGCCCCGGGCAGAAAGAGGCAGGGCAGAGGGGCGGCCGTGCAGCGGTGTGAGCCTCGACTGGACGCCTGACACCTGTTGCTTGCTCAGAATTCCCATGGGTCTTTGTCCAAGTGTTCAGAGACAATGATTCCTAACCCGTATGGACCACAGCATCCTGGGGAGGAAGGAGGCCTGGGCACTCACCAATCACCCTGAGCAAGCACCACGTAGAAGATGCTTTACAGAGTTTGGGAATTATGGAAGCAGGAAGCAACCTCGGGTAGTTAGGGACAAGTTTGCTTCTTAGCATGAAACAAACATAGCCAGTCAAGAGGCTGGGAACCCCCACTTTCTTTCCCCAAGCTGGAGAAACCAGCCTCTGGCTTTCACTGACGCCAACAGAGGCTGCCACTCCCGAGGGGAAACGGCCGGCCCGGCATGCTTGGTACCTCGGCAGCAGAAGGCTGGAGGAAGGCCTGGTTCCCCAAATCAGCCGCTGAAAACCCCGAGGGCCGCAGGTCTGCTCTGACGCGGGGCCATCCGCCCGCATCCCCAGGGAGGGCAGAAGGTAGGTACCTGTGAGAGAGGATGATTTTCTTCATGTTGTCGGCCATGAGGAAGTTGTAAAACCTGCGGCAGTGATCCCACTGCATGAAGGTCTCCTGGGCCCTGGAAGAGCAGAGCGAGAGTGAGGGAGGCCGAATCACGTCGTGCTGCTGAGGGTGGAGGGGCGGTGGCCGAGCAGGCTGGGAGGCGGGCTCCTGTCACTGCAGAAGGGTGCTCGAGTGGAGAGCACTGCTTGCCCCATTTGTCTGTGGGAACCCGGGGCTCTGGGGTGAGGGACTCACACTGCTGGCTACAGTGGAGCCTATGGCAAAACTGTAACTTGGCCATGATCTGACCCCAGTGAGAACCCTCTCCAGGAGTGGGGGCTTGGTGGACAGCACTCCTGACCCCCTCTTCCAGAACCTGCAGACCAGTTTTCACTTGAACTCTCTCCGGGGCGGCCTCCTGCCCTGCAGGCATGTTTTTCTGGCCTAATGCCGGGAATGTGTCAGGGGAGGGTGGGTGGAGACGTACATCAAATTCTGGAAGAAACCTGGAAGAGAGAAAACAAACTTCTCTGGCTGCCGTTTGCGAGGCAGAGGAAGAGCGTACGTACATCTGCAATGGTCTATAAGACATCTTTCTTTTCTTCAGCCCTAGCGCTTCCACAGAGCAAGACAGGGGAGTGGCAGCAGGGAGAAGACACACTACAGGGCAGTGCATGCATTACTAATACGCTCTTCAAGCCCCGCCTTGGTTGTGTTCCCCAAGGTCTGGTAAGAAGGTGATGGCAGGGCCTGACTGAGTCATGTGATTCAGCTGTGAGTGACTGCCAGTGGGGTTCACCGTGATCATCCTGTGGGGGTATAAACTGAGCCATCTCTGAAGCAGGAAGTGGGAGGTGGGAAGAAAAGAGTGTGGCCTTGATATCCCTGTGCATTGAGTCCCCTTGATCCAGGAGAGGCGCAGCAGCAACAGAACCAGGAGCCAAAGCATGAGAGAGTGCTGGGCTTCCCAGCCCACAGAGCAAGAAAAGATGAGTGCGTAGGGGCAGGAGGGTGCCTGTGGAGTGGGGTGCCCCTGGGCACTTAATTGGGCGAGCTGGGTTTGCTGATCCACAGAGCTGAGCTGAGTGCCTTTGGGTGAGGCTTATCGTGAAGTAGCATGCCTTTTGCATGCCATGTCCTCTTACACTGGACCTGGATCCAAACAGAGCTTTGAAACACTGCCTGAGCAGAGCAGAGCCAGGCCAAGTGGCCAAGAGTCAGGGCAGACACACTCTCCTGACCGAGCAGCTTTGTCCTGAACATTTCTCCCCTGATAACTTCCCTAGTAAGACCCATAGCTGTGGGCATCGTCTGTGATTTGTGTGTGCCCACTGCAGTGAGCCATTGCATCCAGTCTCAGAAGTAGGGTACTGTGCGCAGGACAGTTGGTGTCAGAACAGGGTAAGAAAGGGATGGAGGGTAGATGCCTTTTGGCAGTTCACTGTGGGAGTCAGACGGGATCATATGTGGCCCACATGTCGTGTCCACAACACCCGAGGGGCTGGCTTGAGAGTCACTGCCTACATGCACAGGCATGACTGGCAGGTCCCCACCTCACATGGGAACATGGTCTCTGACCTTCCAGCAGTGGCACGAACTGAAAAGCCCACTGCCGTGGTCAGGCCCGGCTCACAGGACCGCAGTTTGAGCAGCTGTTCATTTCTCTGGCAGCAGACTGCTCCCTTGGGGGCAGCATTGGGCTTCAATACGACCTACCTTTGGCCTAGCAGCCCAGTGCTTAACCTACTGTGCCATCATGGCTTCTAGCAGTGGTGCCAGGCAGGTAATAGGATTTCCATGTTCCAGACTGGGAAACCAAGGATTTGACCCAGTGCTATGCCCAGGTCACACGGCAGTAAGACTGAGTTCCGGGCTCAGGCCTGGTTGACCCCAGAGTCCTGATTTTAACTCCAACCCCATGCGGAGGGTGGGGGACAGCACCCCACCTTCTTTACAAGTGTCTGGGGGCAGGGTGTCAGGCAAACAGACCCCAATGGGCCAACTCTGTTGCCTCTCAGCCACCCTGTTCCACGCACCACCCTGCTCCACACCGTGGGTCTGAATCCGGACACAGGTGACCCTTGAGCCCACAGAGATGGAAAAGAAACCTTTCTTTGTGCAATTTCCGATCCCAAGGCCTCATTCAATTCCATATTGGCAATGAGTCTGGCCACCAGCACCCCACAGAGAACCCCCAGGGTTCACATTCCAGGTGACTAGGAAGGGGTCTGGGGCAGATAGCTTGCAAAGGGGATTTCCCCAAAGCTGCTGGAGTTCAATTTTGGAATGGCAAACAGTTCGGATGAAATCGTGGTTAAAAGGTAAGCAGCAGTGGGCAGTTAAAAAGGAAATAGTGTGTGAAAAATACAACTTTCCTCTAGTTCCTAAATGTTTCCTCCCCGCTCCCACTATCATATGAATGCTACCTTCCAAGTCTGGCTAGACTAGAGGATGTACACTGGTACAGATAGGAACTGTAAACACAGGGAATCCAGGGCGGATGATCCCTTCAGGACCAGTGGTGTGAGTGGCGATACCCTGGGAGGGTAGAGGGAGAGTGTGTTGGAAAGAGGGAACCAATTACAAGGAACTATATGTGACCTCCTCCCTGGGGGATGGACAACAGAAAAGTGGGTGAAGGGAGAAGATATGGGCAAGATATGACAAAATAACAATTTATAAATTATCAAGAGCTCATGAGGGAGGGGGGAGTGGGGATGGAGGGGAAAAATGAGGACCTAATGCCGGGGGCTTAAGTGGAGAGGAAATGTTTTGAAAATGATGAGGGCAATGAATGTACAAATGCGCTTTACACAATTGATGTATGTATGGATTGTGATAAGAGTCATATGAGCCCCTAATAAAATGATTTTTTTAAAAAGGAAATAGTGTGTGGACTTAACAGCCTGGGCCCGGCTCCTAGGACAGTAGCTGAAACTCCATGTGAAGATTCACATTGCCTTCAGAGGGGAGAAGGCTACAATGTTAGTGTGCAGGACCTGCCCCACCACTGGGGGAACAGAAAGGACAGGCCAGATAGCCAGGGGAGGGACCCTGACCATTCAGGTTCCCCAACCAATGGCCACAGCCAGCTGCCTCTGGGGCTGAACTTCGGTGGAGCTTCCAGACTTAGGGAAGACGAGGGAGGAAGGCTTGGTGACCTGCTTCAGAAAATCAGCCAATGAAAACATGGCTCCCAAAGGCCCATTCCCCAGTGGGTCATGGGGCTGGTGCAGGACTGGGCAGTGCCTCATCCTGCTGTGCATGTGGCTGCCGTGAGTTGGGGGCCAACTTGATGGCAGCTAACAAGAACGATAGTGGCGCGCGTGTGACCAGACCAGGCTAGCTACGGCAAGCTCCTTCTGAGCCTCAGTTGGCTCTGGCCGCCCGGGAGGCACACTGTTGAGATGAGAAGCTGGGAAGGTGAGCACCACTGAGCCAGCGGCTCTTCAGATGCAACGAGGAGAAATGTAGCAGAAGCCTGAGCTCCCGTGTGGCCCATGCAGAAGCAGGCAGCCTTCTCTGCCCCATCGCAGCTGCCATCAGCCTACTGCTGAAAGGGCTTACCGCCTACTGGCCTTGGCCACAGCAGCTCACCCCAGGAACTGGCCCACAGTGGGTGGACCTCACGAGATGGGAGGGGACCAGCGTCCTGGACAGCAGCAGGGTCCTGGTGTGTCCCTGACCTGAATCAGGGTGGCTGTCCTCATATTAGCTGTTGTGCGCCAGAGGACAAAACCAACCCTAACTCACTGCCATCGAGTCAATGCTGACTCCTAGCGGCACCCTGCGGGTTTCCGAGGCTCTAACTCTGTGGGAGTAGGAAGCCCAGTCTGAGTCTAGAAGAGCTGCAGGTGGTTTTGAACTACTGACCATGCAGATTGCAGCAGCCCAGTTCAGAAGCACTATACTACTATACCACCTTTCTCCTTCTTGCACAAGGCTGAAGCAAGGACAAATAATATCTATGATGCTCTTTGAGACCCCAAGGAGGAGCTTCCGAGGCTTTGATTTATGAATGTTGCACCTCACAGGTCCTAGTGCCCGGGCTTCTCGAACCTTCTTTGTGTCCACACCTTCATCTCCACCCAGTGTGCTGCTCATGTGCTCTTGCCAACAGCAGGTGGTGCTATTGCAGCAAAGTCCCAGGAAGCAGCTGTCATTGAAGGTGAGACTCATTCCATATCCTCTTGGTGATCAAACCCAGCGCTCTGGGAGCAGAGTCTGTGGCAGCAAGGGGCAGGGGCAGCTCTCAGTGAGGATGTCTGAAAGCTGGAAGGCGAGAGCACAAACTGGGGGGCGCCCCAGAGCCTCCATGTCTCCTTAGGTAGGAGGGCTGGCTTGCCAGTCTGCTGTGTTCGGGCAAAGCTGCCTGGTTCTGAACACCAGATCATACACCCACCCTCTCAGAGGCGCCAGAGGCTTACCCAATGGCAGACACGATCCCCAAGTTTGGTGGGACAGCTCAGGTTTCAGGGGTCTAATAGGACAACGCTAATGTAAGATGTGGATGCCAAACGAGGTCTGTCCCAGCCTGCACAGAGCAGTGTCTCTGGGGTTTCTGACAGAGGAGGGCCCCAGTGAAGGGCCCATGGTGGAGATGACTCACCTCAGTGCGCTGTATCCCTGGCACACGCTGACGCAGCACAGCACCCTCTCTTGGTTTGCTTGAGTCTCCCCCAAGTACTTGCACACGATGTTGCCACCCAAGCTGAAGCCCACGACGACCAGCTGGGTCAGGGGATACATCTTCCTGATGTAGCTTACCATGGCGCCGAATTCCCACGTGCAGCCTGTGGAGAGAGGGGGCGGTCAGGGCATGACTCGTTGTCGGCACAGCAAGTGGAAGAGAAGATGCATGCTGGAGGGTCACTAAATGGATGGCACTGTATGGCAAGCACAAGCGAGACACACAGCCACTGACTGCTCTTTGGCTCACCTGGAGTGAAGTTCCCGGATGCCCTTCGGCATTCAGGAAAACAGGGCGTTAGAAGTGCGTGCCCTGGGGTTGTGGGAAACTCGCCCAGCTGCTCATGGGACTCAGAACAGTTATGCATGAGCAAGGCATGCATGAGCAAGCCTGTGCACTGGTGATGTCGATGCAAGCGAGCGCGAACCCGGGGACCAGCTTCTGAGGCTACGCACAGCGATGCTAAACCCATGTGTACAATGACTCACGGTGCTAAGAAAAGCCCCAAGTGCGTGTTATTTACGGGTCTAATTGTCAGCGTTGGGGAGGGGAAGAAAGGCAAACTGGTCAGGGGAATGGCCAGCGTGCTCTGTAGGATTGACAGGTCGGTAGTTAGGGACAAAAGGGAGGCTAGGCTGTCTTCCTGAATGCCTGTGCTAAATGAAAATTAGCTGTCCATGCCACAATACAGGGGTTGGAAAGGAATCAGGCACCCATTAGACACCTATGGGAAAATCCAGAACTGAGCCCAGGTAGAAGCCAACCTGGGCACAGCCACATTAGACACCAGCACCTAAGCTCAGCCAATGCTCTCATCCATGCCCCCCCAGCAGGAGGCGATAAAAGCACACGGTGTGCAGGCCATCGCGCCCCCCCCACCCCCCCCCTCTTACTCAGGTACACGCTGCAAACCAAGAGGGAGATGATTCCAGAGTGCCCGCCTGGGGCCCGCTCAGCCCTGCTCGCTCCTTGGTCTCTGGTGATTTCCTGATTTCCCCCTGCGTGCTATTGTGCTCTGGTTCCAGCTGTATTCTTTCCATCTGTTTGGGTTTTTTTGCTTCCAGTCTCAACTCCTGCGCAGTCACTGCACAGCCCTGTTCCCTTCCCTGAAACAGCGTGTCCTTTTTGAGACGAATCCCTGAAACTTCCCTTTTCCTCATAAAGGTCACTTGGATTACAAACGTGCTTCGGCCACACGAATTCTCATAGCGTGTTACAAAGCAAGAACCAAGGTATCCCAATCCAGAAACCTAACAGGCTCAGGCTAAATGTTCTTGGTGACATAAGCACAGAGCACCAAGGGAGGCAAACCCATTCAGGAAGAGCCAGAGGAGGCCTCTGAACAGAGAGGAAGTTTGGGCCACGCGGGCCCAAGAGGGATGATCTCAGCCGGAGTCCCCGGGGATGTTGTAGAAGCCAAGCTATGACCCAGCAGTTTTGTTAGCAGTTTTGCTAGGAGCAGCCAGGTGAAGGGATTTACAGCATCCTTCGCTTCCACGGCCCAACCCCAGGCTTTGCAGGGAATCAAGTTAAAATTAAAGTCCACGGGATGTTGGCATAACAGACACAAAACAGAAACGTGATGAGATTGTTCACTTGCGATGGAAACACGAATTGCTGACCTTGGCAAGAGGGCAGAGGCTTTGACGTCCCTAATAGACGTGAACGGCAACTGCCCCAGCTAAGCAAGCTCTGGGGAAACTACCGTGTGAGCCTGGGGTAAGCTCCCCTGATCTTTCTTCCTCTCCCAGTGGGATTCAGCCTAAGCCAGACCAGCACCACTGCCCAAACCCAGCCCAACCCATTGCATCAGGTCAACTCTGACTCACAGGGAGCTGCAGGGTTTCCGAGACGGCATCTTCCCTGGGAGCAGACAGGCTCCTTCTCCCCCGAGTGGTTGGTGGATCTGAAGTGCTGCGGCCTGAAGGTTAGCAGCCCAACGAGCGCCACTGGGGTCCCCGTCAACCCTGTGCAGGAGCCCTTCATTTGCAGTGTGCCCAGAATCGCCGGAGAGGATGTTAGATCCACATTCAATGGCTTTATTCCCAGAGCAGCTAATCTGCAAATACATACATACCTCACACACATATATATTTGAGTAG